CAAATCTTAAAATAGTGGAACAATTTCCGTTTTGATCCTCATTGGAAAACTGAAGACTGGTTCTGACATCATGGCATGTATTAAGAAAAACTTTCACCAACATCACTGTAAACAGTTCATTGTCATTCACTATTTCTGGTTAAAGCTCTATCATCCAGAAACGCTGCCATCATATCAGAATCAGATTTTATTTCAAATAGACTGAAGCAAAGTGGAGAAGTGTTCTGTGGACAGATAAACCAAAAATTGAATTTTTTAGGAAAAACCACGTCCTCCATTTTAAGAGAAGGACCATCCAGTTTGTTTGTAGCACACATTTTAAAAACATGCCTCTCTGATGGTATAGGGGTGCATTGGTGCTTGTGGCATGTGCAGCTCAAACATGGAAAGGCACCATCAATGCAGACAAGTACATTCTGTTTTTAGAACAACATATGCTTCCATCCATCAAAAATAATCCAGCGAACAAGATTCAGGACTGTTGAACAGTAGAATCACATGAGACAAGAACGAGAACGTCCTGCTGCAAAAACTAAAGCAGCTGATCGGTGGTAAAACAAGAGGGGATACTTCACAAGTTGGAGTTGTAGATAAAAAATATTTACATTTATTATTATTTATGATTATTTATTTTATTTTAAATAAAATGATCATTCACAACATTTACATGTATTCTTTATAAAATATATAATTATGTATTAACTCAACCTAAACTGGAACAATTGTCTTGTAATATTGTTTAAAATATAGTCATGCTTTAAAATCTGGGGGTAAAAAACCCCCAGTAAAAACAAAAATAATTGCGTGAACAGCAGATGAAATAAATGTCGAGATGATTTGTAACCTGAGAAACACTTGAAAGTTTATTTTGTTCAACATCACAATGTAAAATAAATCAGATTGTTTGAAACTGCAGTTCTCTTCACCACCACTTGATGTTTCACTTGTCTTCGTGACGTCACTTTTTAACCCTGTTAAAAGTCCAATTCCAAAGCTGCTCTTCCGCCGGGTGTGTTGGCGCGCGCCTGTAATCCAAGCTACTGGGAGGCTGAGACTGGCGGATCGTTTGAGCTCAGGAGCTCTGGGCTGCAGTGGACTATGTCGATCGGGTGTCCGCACTAAGCTCGGTATCGATATGGTGCTCCTGGGGGAGCCCGGGACCACCAGGTCGAATAAGGAGG